ACAAATGTATCTTAAGGTTACTCCATTATAATGTGCTAAAATTCAGCTGTGAATTTAATAAACTTTTAGATAACTTTAGTAAATAAATATTTAAATAAAAAATTTATTATACTCAAGTTATCACTATAATTCAATGCATAGCAATTTTCAATAAATGAATCATTAAAAGTTAGCGAGTAAAAACTGTAATTTTGCCCTGGCTGGTTTGGCTCAGCAGTTGGAGCGTTGGCCTGCGGACCAGAGAGTCCCGTGTTTGGTTCCCACTAGGCATACATACCAAAAAACAAACAAACAAAACTGTATAATTTCTTTAAAAATAGAATAAAACACAAACTATTATCCTGAAGTAACAAAGGATATTCAAGAAATATTTCTAAAGCAAGTAGATATTCTATTTTTCTTACACATTACATGCTTTTTAAAAAGCTTTTTTTTTTTATCCTCACCCGAGGACATTTTTCCATTTTCTGTTCAGGTAGAGTGGGAGGGAGAGAGAGAGAAACATCAACGTGAAAGGAACACATCAAGTGGCTGCCACCCGCACAACCGACCAGGGCCGGGGACAAACTGCAACCGAGGTACATGCCCTTAGCGGGAACCGAACCTGGGTCTCTCAGGACCGCAGGCCGACGCTCTAACCGCTGAGCCAAACCGGCCAGGGCTTAAAAAGCTTTTAAAATTACATATATTATATTAAATATACTTAAGTAGAATAGAGACAAAATATTTATGAGTTTAAAAGAACTCAGTGTTTAAGCATCATATTTTTGTTTTTCCTGAGAGATATATTACACAAGGATATTTTCTGGTGTGTTAACATACACACATCAATCCTTCAGAATTGCAGCAACATAAAACATCTCATGTAAACACATTTGGGACTCCTGGTGGTAGCCACTCAGCTGAGCCTTTCCAAATTCCTGATCCACAAAATCATGAGCAAAAGAAAATGGCTATTTTATGCCACTATGCTCTGGGGTCATTTATTATGCCGTAAGAATTTCAGAAGATAAGTTCAGACAATACATATGCACTGCTCATTAAAATGTTACAAGCATAATGTTTGTTGGGAAGTGAACATCTGTCATGGGTCCCTAATACATATTCAATGAAAGGGAGCTCTGCTAGCATTCCACTCATGGACTTTCCAACTCCCTTACTCACTCCTCCCTGGGAGAACCAGGGAGATGTCTGATTGGTAACTATGAGGACATACTGGATGCACTTTTTCTAGCCACTCCCTTTTTTGTTTTCAGAAAAGACCTTCCAGTGGAGACCATAGGTTCTCTGTTGTTTTCAGCCAGGATGGTCACCACCTTAGCCGTGATTACAACAAGAGTGGGCTTCTACGCTGAGTAAGTCTACCTAATTTTATAATTCAGTATAAGGACATGTACTTACCCTATAGAATTAAGTCCATGATGTATATTTTTTTGAGAATTTCTATGAGTCTATTTGGGCCAAACATATGCCGAGGAAGAAGATCTCAAATGCCCCTGAAAATAACAGTTTTTCAGCTCATTTTATGCATTTGAAAACAAGAAGGGAAGTAAGAAAGATTTTGAGAAGGCCAGAAAAAGCATCTCGGAAATAGAGTTCTAAAATAAAAGTTATTTTATTAAAATAATAAGTTAAAATTATGTACTCTCTTGGTGGTGGTTATATGTAGATTGGATTACAAGGTAGGTGAAATTATGTGTTCTCTCTCTCTCTTGCTCTTTTTTATTCCTGAGGCCTGAAAGGGGGAATTTTAAAGAAATGTTAACCTAGATGCACAGGAGCAATAGATAGGGCTTGCTTAAGGCAAGGGTAGGCTTTTAGGAAAGAAGTTGTTGCTTGGGGCATGATGACCTATCATGACCAGATCACCCCATGAAGCTACTTTCCATAGAAGCTCTTTTTTGTCCACAAGAAGATATGTATTTCCTTAGTCTGATCTGGTGATTGAGAATTTAGGCAAGGAAAAGGGATACTATTAATTGAGACCTACTCTTTAAAAAAATATACAATATGAACATGGTTGCTAAATACATAGTCATATTTTAGAATGACATCATTAGTTTGAAGCATATTATATTGATGATATTTCACAATCTATGACATTTAGCAGTTTTATCAAAACTTTAACACTGTATGCATGATGGGACATCTACTTTGTTTTGTTCTGTATTTCTCAGGCTCCTATCAGGAGCCCAGTAATCAGGTAAGAGCATTTTCCTGTTGAAAGGGTTAGTTGATAAGTTTCACTTGGCTTAGATTTAGAGTAAGATCATTGTTTTCCAAAGTATGGCCTGAAGACCACCCATAGAATGCCAATGAGGGGTAAAACAATATGCACTCCTAAATCCTGTGCTAGACATACTAAATCAGTCTTGGGGTGTGGGGTTTAGAGTTTGCATTCCAACAGGCTCTCCAAGTGATTCTTATGGCAAATACAATCTCATGTCACTTTTCAATACAACAGAGACATGACCTCAGTATACTCCATGATAGTCAAAGTTCAATCAGAGCTTAGGTATCAGACTTTATGGAAACTATTCACAATCAGAGTTTACTCAGAATACAAGAAACAAGATAAATTATGCTTCAAAAATTATGCACATGACAAAGACAAATAAAGTTTATTGAATATTTACAGTATGCTAAAGACATTGATATCGATTTTACAAGGCACCCTTCACCTTTCTTATACCAACAAGGAAACTAAGTATTATTATCCACTGTTAAAGACCAAGAACTCATCTTAAAAAGAGTTCGAATAATATGGCCAAAGCTGAAGCATTATAAATGACAGAGTTGAGATTCCAAACTAGGTTTGTCTTCCTTTAAAGCTCAACTCAACCATTCAATTTCTGAATTTTGGCTGTTGAAGAAACTGGGAATGTCAAGAGAAAAAGGGTTTACCATCCAGAAAATAAAATGGGGATCTTAAAATAATTTTGGAGAAATATCACAATAGAAAGTGAATATAGCAGTCTTAATTTCTTTATCCACTAGATAAAAATTGTTATTTGGAAAAAAGAAAGCACATTTAGACTTCCATAATTGTTTTATAACTAATAAACCAAGTAAAAAAAAAAAAAAAAAGATGTCTACTTTAATAGATATAATCTTTAGAAACAAAAACTAGTTGATTATTTTTCACAATTACTATAAAACAGATTTCTATACATAGTTGTGGGTGGCCTGGGGTGTATGTAGAGTGTAGAATAACATATTAGGCCAGCAGTTTCTTGATTACTTTGTACTAATAAAATAACTGAATACAAGCTATCTCTCATTCTTGGTATATGATAAAGGAACATCTTTTATTTTTCATTTTATTTATTTTTTATCCTCACCCGAGGACATTTTTTGCATTTATCTTCAGATAGAGCAGGAGGGAGAGAGGGAGAAAGAGAGAGAAACATTGATGTGAAAAAGACACATCGACTGGTTGCCACCCACATGACCCCAACCAGGGCCTGAGATCAACTGCAACTGAGGTACGTGCCCTTAACAGGAACCAAACCCGGGTCTCTTTGGTCCACGGGCCGATGCTCTAACTGCTGAGCCAACCTGGCCAAGGCAAGGCTCATCTTTTAAATAAAGAGTAAAAGCTATCTTTGAGAAGAGAAGTTCAAGGAATTTTACAGTAGACAGAAAAGCAATAAAAGACTGAGTTAGAAATATGAAGGTACAATAAATAAAGGCTTAGAGACATGGAAATCTCGAGTAATCTCATCTAAGAAAAATGTACTAAGTCAACATGAAAGCATTTACCTACAGTTTTCTATATCAAATTGCTTTTTGACAATTTTAAACATTTCTGTAGAACTATAACTCCTTTCAGACTTGCCGTATATACCTATGATTTTCTGTTAAGAAAAATATTAAAGTGAGTGATGTCGCTTCTCTGGGTTCCTAGAAAACTATAAATATTATTCATATTTTATAAATTGTATTTTCAATTTGTATATATAAAATAATTGTTTCTTACCAAAGAATTATACTCTCCTTAAATATGCCATTATGAAGAAGAAATGGGGCAAAGAAGGGTGGTATATGTGTGAATACATTCTTTCAAAAGATAAATTGTAAATGGACAGGAAGTTGCCTGTGTTGTGAATGTATGGAGTTAGCATGTTGTTTAAAATGATATGATGAGTTGAAGGAATAGAATGTGTATTTTTTTTTCTGCTATCAATGTTGGAAAGTCAAAGCTACGTCTATTTCAGAAATCAGTGAATTGATTTTTGCATAAATTGATTTACGTTAATGAAAGCAATTTAAAGGAAGTTTGTCTTTAACCAGAAAATAAAAGCAATCTATCAGCTCACTGTTACAATGTTTACTAGCACGTGTGAAACTGGGAGTCCCTCAAAACATCAATCCACTACCTTTTTCTGTCTGTTTCACTTCTGCCTAAATTTGGATTTTTATATGAGTAGTTAAAAATAACAAGGATGAAAATCCATGGATTGTAGTGAAACACATGATGGTGTTTAATTGATTTCTAAGGAACTTGTATGCATTCTGGTGAAAGGTCACAATTTACACTTGTACTTATTTGCCTTATTAGATGGTTAACTACATGAAAGCAGAAACCTACTTTTGTACTACACAAAGACAATCCCAATGAGTAAAGAGTAAAATGACAGACTTTTGTGAATTTGAATTACTTTCATTTTCACAGCACAGGGTGGAGGGATTACAATTGTCATAAACTATTCTATAGATTCAATGTATAGCAAATTTAATTGGGAAGACTTAAGAGTTCCAACAGCCTAAGATCTTGTGGCTTACTAAAAGCATCTTTAAATATTACACTTTCACTTTATTCTCCTCTAAATTTAGTTTTAGGTTGACTGTGGTAGTTATCGTTGAAAACAAAAAATAAACCACTTATTGTATTCTTACCAATTACCTGGTAAATTGGAGTCCGATGTGAGATTTAATAACATGTGAAACACTGGAAATACAATGATGCTGAAAACCACTATGCACGGGGTTGTCGTTACCTTGTCTCCTCCGGAGAATGTGATTCCATCCACGGCTCTTTTCCACGTGATTTCTGGAATAGGCTCCCCCTCTGCTTCACATTTGAGTGTCACTTGGCCATTCTCATATGTAGTTTCATTTTTCAGCTGTATTATGTGAGGCTGTACTGTAAAGAATATATGCATTACTCAATCTGCATTGGAGGGAAACGCTGCTACTGAGACCTGGAGGCTATGACGGGCATTGAAGTCCAACCGGACTGTGTGGAATCGTTAATGGTGCTTTGCTCTAGGGTGGTGCTAATATGAACAGGGGAACATATATCAGAAAAGAATTCCCATTGATTATCCTGATACAATCATTTGAAGTGGTTTAGATACCAACACACAAATTATAATTCCTTCCAACACGTTGCCAGTTTAAGAGCCACTTTATTATATTTCTCCTCTTAAAGCACAAATTAAAATTTTCTCTTTTAAAGCCACATGCGTGTAAGTGTGTGTGTGTGTGGTGTGTGTGTGTGTGTGTGTAGGGTGGCCTGGCATCCAATTAGTGAGTGATTATCTCTTAAGCTTTTAAAACAATTTTGCCAAAGAGAAAAAGTGAGGACTGTATCCTGAACATATAGTAAGTATAATTATGTACAATAGTTATGTAAAGATACATAAGTGCTATGTATTTATATTTTCCTAACTGGTTTATTTTGACCTCAGTTTACCTTTTAAATATTATAAGGCACTGTAACTAAGTATTTCTTTATAATTATGTCTTCTTTAAAAAGAAAAAAGACATTATGTCTACTAGTTTAAATTATCTTAATATTAAAAATTATGTCCATCCACAAATTTACATAATACCACAGAGCTTCATGTTTGTAAATTCTGTATTATCTGCATTTATTAAAATTTTACTTGTTAAAACAAAAGGGATCTTAGACATGGAAGTAGGGAGTGAAGGGGGTTGGGGGTGGGAAGAGGTAAACCAAAGAACTTATTGCATGTATGTATAACCAACGGACACAGACAACAAGGCGGAGAAGGTGGGGCGGGGAGCCGGGAGCTGGGAACAGGGAGTCAATGGAGAAAAAAGGAGGGACATCTGCAATGCTTTCAACAATAAAGATTAAGGGAAAAAAATGGATAAAATGGATAAAACCCAGTACTTGTTATTTAAGGTTAAGTAACAGGCACTTTTAAATATTTAAGTGCAATTAATTCTGGGATATAAAGAAGTAGTTCTTAATCTTAGAAAATTAGATTACTGGTATTAGAAATATAGTATATGTAATTTTTTTTCTTAATCCTCACCTGAGGATATTTTTCCATTTATTTTTCTAGATACAGTGGCAGGGAGGGAGGGAAGAAGAGAGAGAGAGAGAAACACCAATGTGAGAGAGACACATCAACTGGTTGCCTCCCACATGACCTTGACCCTGACTGGGGCTGGGGATGGGACCTGCCACTGAGGTACTGCCCTTGACTGGGAATGGAACCTGTGACTCTGGTCCCCGGGCCAACACTCTAACTGCTGAGCCAAACCAGCCAGGGCTAGAACACATCATTTTTAACAATTCAGTGCTGACTGCATTGACTTTATGGATTTAGTTACATTTCCTCTATATAAATATATATAAATCATATATATATATATATATATGATTTTGTGTCAAACACAATAGAAACTTGTTCAGTGTTACTATACAAAAGTGATTACAACAGTGATAAAACATACAATATTTCATGCACGACTTTCTATTTAAAAAGATTAAAATATTAAAAACTTTAGTTACATCTGTTCTCACTTACTGCCACCCTAATAAATAACAAGTAAGTAAACAATATTTTATGTGAACCCTTTGACGTAGATTGAAAACATTACCCTTTGGAATAATCTCAGATACTATCATTTCTAATTAATTACTTTTTTTATACTGAGTCATATTTATTTCATGTTGTAGGTTTTAAAGAGAATAATTTCTTTAAGTGGGTAATACTGCTAAAACAAATTATGAGCTTCCTATAATTTCTAATAATTTAAAATTTGTTTCTTCTTCCTTGTATGTGAACAATTTTCTCCTGGTTCTTAGCTTTGACAACATCTCATCATGAAAGATTTTTGTGTAGACAAAATCATCATCCTTCTCAGTAACTTTCTAACACTGTGTTATCCAAAATAATGGCCCTCGTTTCTCAACACTGCCTGAATTACCCACTTTCTTAGACTATTTTGTTATTCCAATTTTATTTAATTATTTCAATGTATTCTGGTATAGTCTTTGCCTGTCTCACTGCGCCAGAATATAAGCTTTATGAAAATGTCTCTGATTCAGAATATACTGCTATTACATGATCACAGGACCAGCTGGCACAGGACATGTCCATGTGTATTACCATTTGTATTTAGGTCTGTGACCACAGTGCGGATGTATCTGCCTAAAGCAAACACTGGTCCTTCTTATTCTTACAGTTTCCCCTCCTTCCTTTCCCATCTTTGTTGTGGAAGTATTTTGTCAACAATGTTTTTAAAAATGGAGAAAATATACTAAATGTCAGTTTTGCATATACTTTTTAGTGTTATGCTTTTTAAAGAGAATGCTCATATTCTAAATATTCACCAGCAACATTGTTTTTCTTCTAGAAAATCTAATGATAGCCAAATTAAAAAATATTATTCTCTACTTTCTATAAGATCTCCAAAGAAGGTAATATGGTTTTTGGTAATTACAGAAGATATTTATATTATATTTCCTTTTAATAAAACAAAATGAGAATATTTAATTACAATTGCAGGTTAATTTTTCCTAATTATAGCCTTATAGGCGTGCTCTTTTGAAGTATAATGAAAATAAAGATTATCTCAGGATTTCATTTTAAGATTTATGAAGATCAACCCATATATACATACATATATATATATATATATATATATATATATATATATATATATAGTATCATTTAAATCAATTTTCTTCAAATTCCTGTTATGAGTCAGTCAATATTTTACAATAACTTACATGTATAATTTCATGTAATTCTTAAAACAATTATTTCTGGTAGTTGCAATTTAAAAACACATATATTTTAGAGATGAGAAAACAGATTTAATTATGGAAAGTGAAACAGTTCCTAAAAAGTGACATAGCAGAATTTGACGCAGACCTGGACATCACAGTGTCAACCACTATGCTAGAATACTTACCAAAGACTTGGAGGAATGCCTGTTTTTCGTCTTCTCCAGCCTTATTTGTGGCCTTGCAGACATAATGGCCCCCATCACTATTGATTATGTTCCTGACAGTGAGTTCTGTATTGCTTCCTTTCAATATGTACTTTTCATTTTCTTCAATGAACTTGCCATTCCTAATGGAAAACAGGAACAAAAAACAGAAGTTGATCTTCATGAATCTGACTGCATTACTCAGGAGAAAATCATATTCAACTTTTTGATCTGTGGTTGTCAGATTTTTCATGGCTCTTGATAGACAAGGCTATATTCCAATCTAAAGTACACTTCTAGAAGCTCAGCAAAATTTAATGCATAAATATTAAACTTATACTTGAGAATAATTTTGACTTTAGAGACAAAAATAACATTTGAATTATGTTGAAATATTAATACTAATTTTAGCCAAACATCACATTGGGTCAATCCTTACTTTGATTATTATACCAAAAAGAGTTTCTCTTATGATTTTAATTCCATATACTTTACTATATGGATGAGTCAACATGTATTTATGCAATCTTTATTTACTATGTTCCTGGAATACATCTAGTAGAATTTCTATTGAATAAGTCAAAGTACATACAATTTAAATATATAACCAATTTAATATATAACCATCCTTTAAATAAGTCAAAGTACATACAATTTAAATATATAACCAATTTATTTTGAAAATAAGTACTGCCCATAAAAGGGTAAAATAAAAGAAATTATGCTGAATACAATAATTCACTAATAAGAAGAAATCACTTTTTAAAAAATAACTTCTTTTTTAGATTTAAATATTTAATACTTTCCATGTTCTTTTGGGACTAAAGCCATATTTATTCTGCCCTAATTCTAGCCTTTGTTGTCCACTTAGACAATGTCTCTCACACTTTTTTATAATAACTATAGTAAGAAATATTTTCAATATCTTTAAATCTGAAACAATTTCTACAATTTCCCTTAATAGGTGTGAAACCTTATATTGTATATTCTCTCTCATTCTATCTTATTCTCATCTTCTCTTCCTTCTTCTTTTCTTTCTTCCATATATCTATCCTTCTACATGTTTCTTATAATGGTGTGTTAGATGACTGAATAGAATTTAATGCCCACCGATGTAAAAAGTTTAGGATCTGTTCTTAGGGATGGCAAGATTTACTTGCCCACACAAGTATAAATGTAGAAAGAAAAATCTCTAAAAGAGTATAAAACTATTTCCTCTATTGAACATAACATTTCTCTGATGTATTGAATGATCTTTCCAGTGAATTTTAGTTTTGCTTCCAGAAAGCATTAGCAGGTATCTTCATATAATCCTTATCCTTTTATAACCCAGTATCATGTTTTTTCAGTGTCTACTGACATCTCTAAATATATCACGAAATGTGCAAAAATATCATAAGGGTAGAGGCAATAGCTACTCATAGCAAATGTATATGTAGTACTCTGCGCTTGTATCTTTTTTTCATATTTTTACTTATCCATTATTTAAAATTATAAAAAATAACAATATTTCAGCTTTTTTCTCTAGAATTTCATGTGTAAATAGAGCTTTTAGTGCAGTTGGTGATATATTTCTCAATCTATTCAGTGAAGAATATTCATGGGCTCGACAACATTTTGCCTATATCAATTTACCTGGCTGAATTCTCACAAGCAGCCCATGGATGTGTATTTTTCCTTTCTACACTCATTCACAGACCACAACTACATTTTTTAGTATGATTTCCACATCCCTCAATGCACACAGTACTGTAAGCAGCAGATTGACCAAGTTCCAGTGTTCTTTCTGATAAGGAGGGTTATTTGCCTACCTCATGTGAAATACTAAATGTTTGAAGTACGGCGCATTAGTGAGACATAGGCACTTATCATGAAGAATCCATATGATTGGCAAGAAGTAGAGGGTAATGTAGATGCCATCAATAAGTTAATACCTTTTTGGGTTTTATTTTGGGGGGGATGGGATGAGACCTACTAGGACAGAAGAGAAAAGAATATGGCTAGCATACTCGGGGAATTTTCAAGGAAAAACAATCATGATTTGAGCTTTGAAGTGAGTGAGTAGTTCTCAAAGAATTTAGAGGAAATAAGTTTGTATGGATTATGTTCCCATCAAGAGTTCAATTTACATATATCATTAAAGGATAACAAATAAAGTAACAGTTCTCGATACCTCTCTGCCAACAAACCTGTTAGACAGAATCACACATTGCCAATTACAATCTATGTTGTGGAATGCCAGTATCAGAAAAACTCCCAAAGGAGTCAGATGCATTCCATGAGCCCATCATTTGGAACACAAACCATTTCTCTAAATGCCCCTTTTCCAGGCACAAAAAATAGGGGTTATGGTTAAAGAATTAATGAAAATGATAAGGAAGGGGGAATTATTCCACCTTTTACCATAATGTAGTAACAGGGACATAGGTCCCTCCCATTTCAAATAACAGAAACACTGGTCACCTAGATTAAGTAACAGGTTACAAACATTGATCGATGAGTAGCACATGACAATGGATTCTGAGGACCATCATAGCTTCTACCTGAAGACAGTCTCCAGGCTACACCTCAGAGAGAAAGAACCCAGGTATAGCCAGGCAGTGTATCTGAGTTGGAAGACAGAGTTCTTAGTTGGGTGAGGTAAAGTAGCTAGATTTTGTGGGTCAGAAACATGGCTTATAGAACAAAACAAACAAAAACAGACTGATACCTGCAGAGAACAAACTGATGGTTGCGATAGGGAAGAGGGGTTGTGGAAATGGGTGAAAAAGGTGAAGGGATTGAGAAGTAATCTTGGGAATTTTAAATTCAGCACAGAGAACATTAATCATATTGTAATATGTGGTGCCAAGTGGGCACTTGAATTATTGGGAGGATTGCATTGTAAATGATATAACTGTCTAACCACTATGATGTATACACCTGAAACTAATATAAGATAATATAATTTCAACTATAATTGAAAAATAAAATTTAAAAAATAAAGTTAAAAAAGTGAAATGTAATCAAATGAAATATACAATTAAAATAATAGCCTGGCCGGTGTGGCTCAATGATTGAGCATCGACCCATGCACCAAGGAGTCACTGGTTCGATTCCCGGTCAGGGCACAAGCCCAGCTTGTGGGCCAAATCCCCAGTGGGGGGCACGCAAGAGGTGGCCAATGGATGTTCTCTCTCATCGATGTTTCTCTCTCTCTCCTTTCCTCTCTCTAAAATTAATAAAGAAAAAATATTTCAAAAATAAATAAATACATATATACATAAAAGAAAAAAAAAGGCTCATAGAATGATCAAGGCTAGGGATGCACCTTGGCCTGGGTTAAGTCACTCTGTTGATCTCTTTAACAATTTAATCTGATCAATGTAATTGAAAACAAAAGCATATTAACTTTCTAAAAAAACATTACAAAACAATGCTTTCCTTCCTGACAAAATGATAAGGCTGCAGATACTTTTTGATGAGCGCGATGAAGAACACTGACAGACCCATGTGGGTGCGTGGCCTACCTGTACCAAGAGATGGTGGGCTCAGGAGAGCCCGAGGCCCTGCAGGATAAGGTCATCTCCTCCCCTCTCTCTGCTGTGGCATTAAAAGATTTCTGAGGCATTGTGATTGCTGGTGGCACTGGAAAACAGATATACACAGATAAATAGATAGGAAGAACACATCACCAATAACACTGAGACATTTTTACCACCACTTTTTGTTGTTGTTGTCAATGCTAAGCTTTAAAACTTGGTAGTCAACATCCATGATTACATCAACAGGTTAATTTGATCTCAAATGACTTTAATATCACTGACCTATCTTCTGATGTAGAATAATGAGACAATTCATTCTAATGCTATTTTACTATTTTGAACCTATCAAACTAGACTAAACTATAAAGTAGACATTTTAGCATAGATATATGTAGACACACACACACACACATAGATATAGACATATACTTTTATAAAATACTGCTCACAAAAAGACAGACTATACCACCCTGATTTACAGCAATACTGAGATCTACTTGTAGCATAAATGGATTTCCTATTTGGGTTCTCATCAGTATATGTAATTCTATAAGCAGTCATTCACTGCTTCAAGACAGGGCTTTCAAATTAGGTGTCAAACCATAATGTTCTTTCTGATTAACTGCATTTAATTTCTTTAAACAACTACAGACCATTTTATAACTGCTCAAGCCATAAAGTGAATGAAATAGATTTTCATGAACAATTCAATTCTAAAATTAAGCTTCTTCAATTTCTAACTAATTACACTGCAAATACTGTATATGCTGCACATTTCATACTTGTTGAAACTGTTACTGAAATGCACTGTTTGCAATAAATAAATCAATAACATCCATAAGAGAAGCTAAATTTCAAAGTACAGCATAAATTTTGATTTAATGCACACTTTCATGATTTCCAATTTAATGTGACAAGATGATCTTCCCCAAATTAATTACATTAATAGATTTGTTTTTTACATATAGCAAACAATATGACCAGACAGGCATTTATCAGTGTGATTATCATTAAATATCTCTATAATAGCATTCAGGTCAGCATTAATACTGCATTATCGCCATTGATAGTGGGAAGAAAAGCTGATATGTATCTTAGTAATTAATCACAATAAATCAAGTTTCTCCCTTTATGAATTTAGATACAAGGGGCATAATCTGACATGCTGTCTCTAAAATAATACAATAATTATTGGTATTATAATAGGATGGACTTTTTCAGATATTAATTCTGCATTTTAAGTACATTGAAATTTAACATTCTATGTCTTGTAAATTTAACATTCCGTATTCCTTCTCTTATAATTATAAAAAAAAGAACTTCTTAATCACCATGTATTGCTTTTCATTTGGTTATTATAAATGTAGATGTAAGAACACTATGACTACTTTTTTACTACCACAATGAAGATTTTATTCTGTTAGAGGATTATAATAAAATAAACTGTTTAATAGAAATTCTCTGACAGGAACATATCTGTGCACATAGAAACACCTCCAAATGGAGAGTCACATGCCCAGTGATTGTCCCATCACTGTTACTAATCAGAATGAGTTATGTATTCTTTTTTTTTTTCCTTTATTGACTTTACAGAGAGAGAAAATGCGAGGGTGAGAGAGGTAAAAACATCGATGAGAGGAACATCCATTGGCTGCCCCCTGCATGCCCCCCACTGGGGATCAGGCCCTCAACCTGGGCATGTGTCCTGAGTGGGAATCCAACCTGCGACCTCTTGGTGCATGGGTCAACACTCAACCGCTGAGCCACACTGGCCAGATAAATTTATTATTCTTTTTTTTTTTTTTTTTAATCCTCACCCGAGGACATTTTTTCCATTTTTTGTTCAGATAGAGCGGGAGGGAGAGAGAGGAAGAGAGAGAGAGAGAAACATCGATGTGAAGGGACACATCGAGTGGCTGCCACCCGCACGACCAACCAGGGCCGGGGACAAACCGCAACCGAGGTACATGCCCTTAGCGGGAACCGAACCCGGGTCTCTCTGTACCGCAGGCCGACGCTCTAACCGCTGAGCCAAACCGGCCAGGGCAAATTTATTATTCTTTATCATAATGTTCTTTGCTATAAAGTACATTGCATATGCTAGATGATCTGTAAAAATCGACAAATCTTAATGTGTATGTTTTAGAATACGCTGACTTTGCTAATGAAATATGTGTTCTCACAGTGTAGATTAGCAGAATTATACTAATATTGTATATTTACATAGCACTTTGAGGACTAAGTTTAGAACTATTCTGAAGAATAATAGCATCTAAATGTGTAGAGAGGTTCACTAAGTCAGATGCCAACAGGTTCAAGGCATACGTTAGTCACCATTTTAGACTATAGAGTATTTTTATGTATATTTACCTCATTGGTTATGAATTTGACATTGAGTTGAATAATTTTATTTATTTATGTATGTATTTATTTATTTATTTATTTAATCAATCAATCCTCACCCAAGGCCATTTTTGCATTTATCTTCAGACAGAGAGAGGGAGAGAAGAGGGAAGAGAGAGAGAGAAACATTGATGTGAAAGAGACACATAGAATGGTTGCCACCCACACGACCCCAACCGAGGCTGGGGACAAACTGCAACTGAGGTGCCTGCCCTTAGTGGAAACCGAACCCAGGACTCTCTGTTCCGTGGGCCGACGCTCTAACCGCTGAGCAAGACTGGCCAGGGTGGTTAAATAATTTTAAATTATATATCATTCAAATTTATTGTTCTCTCATAAGTGCCACATCTACTCTATCTTGACTTTTTTTTTGGTGCGTATTTGACGATATCTGAAACATCCAGTTTTAAGAACTTCCAGAGATTTACATTCTGTTTATGCGAAGTAGTCTGTGCTTTCTGGTAAATGTCTGATTTCATTCTCTAGCTCGGGGGAACACGACGCTGTGAAGGAAGGGAAGTAGCCCCCGACTGTCACTTACATGGAGGCTTTGGTCCCCTTCATGTTATAATGGCCTCGCTGGTTGCAGAGGCACCAAGGAGACCATGCATTTGACAGCTTACTTCCCTGCACGGACAGTCGCATCAGCAATTCCGTATGTCTTCTGCATCTTGCGATCTGCCTCTACCTATTCTTCTCGAATATTTTTTCAAAAGAATAAAAGCATGACACTAACCATGGAATACTCATGTTGCTCAGATTAATCAGCACCAATAATTCCTCCAGATTAACTCAGGATGAGGACAAAATCCCATCTCTACTGTTGTTCAGAAAACTACTCTTTAGTGATTGATTATTCAGATCTGGCCTAAATCTATATTATGAAATAAACTTACACGTAGATCCTCTATCTGCCAGAGAAATTCTAAACATAAGACTCCCCATTCTTTCTGGTTTAGCTTTTCTTGCTTTGACTTTGTAATCTGTATGACACTTATTACCATAAGGGAGGATTTTTTACAAAAGGCAGAAAGCACTAGACAGGCATCTGTCCCCCACTTAGACGACAACTGCACTGGTAGGATACACTTCACGTAACTATCTTGTGACTCTGGGTCCTGTGATGGGTTTGCAGCTTCTCGGGGAAAGGGCGAGTTGCAAGCAAGGTCTTAGAGATCTATCTGTGCATCCACGCTCACAGCAGCACTCTTCGCAACACTTAAATAGCGGAAGCACCTCCGATTCCCATCAATGATGAGCAAATGTGTTAAATTAATAAAGTGGAATATTATTCAACCTTATGAAGAAAGGGAATTCTGACATACACCACAACATTGATGATGGCCCTTGCGGACACTGTGTAAAGAAAATAAACCAGTCGCAGAGAGATAAGTACTCTATGATGGCACTTATCATTACTTAGGGTATTCAAACTTATAGCGACAGAAGGAGAAACAGTGCTTGCTAGTCAACAGTGGTGTGCTGGGAGGCGAGGCTGTGCGTTACTGTCAAATGGGCAGAGAGCTTCAGGTTTACAAGCAACAAAGAATTATAAAGATTGATGGAGAATGTTGCACAGCATTTATCAATATGTTTAATACCACTTAAATGCACAAAAATGGTTAAGATGGCCGATTTTATGGTATATGTATTTTACTACAAAAAAAGGGGAAAAAAAATCATATAAACATTTTCAATCCCTGCCAAGAGAACAGATGGATCAGATTAACATTAAAGTAACTTGTATTTTTAACATTCTATATTATCCTTCTCAGTATATATGGAGATTCATTTATTTTCTTTACTCAGATCTTTCCTTGCATTCTGATCATTTGATCACTCAACTGCTACTTTCCGGTGGTCATTACAGACTTCGGTGAGGTCACATGTGCATTGTTTTTCCTTTGTTTTATTTTTGTTTGTTTGTTTTGCCCTTCACTACTGCCTTGTAGGCTATTGTATCATTTAACACCTCTCAATTTTCATTAATATTGATTCTGGCTACTTTCAATAATCCTTCATTTTACATTTATGAGGATAGTCCATTCAAAGTGTTATTTAATAGGAGTAAGTTCTTCCCTTTGGAACTCAAAACACATACAGCATTTAACAAATACAAAATATCAAGTTATTGTTATAAGAAAAAGTGTAGTAATTGTATAAATTCATTTTGAAAGGAAATCTAGCTTATTGATTATTGTAAACTAAATGCATGTAGTCATTATTTAACAAAATATATAGTTAGTTGTTTGTAATCTTGAGTACCAGAATACTTAGTATTATTGCCTTAATTTATACCATCAGATTACAAGACGGCAATAATCAAATAGGCCAATTATGTTGCTTAAAAAAAAAAAAAAAAAAAAAAAAAATCCAAGAGAAAAGTCTTAATTGGCATTTTAAATGTCATTCTAATATGAAAGCCATCAGAACTTTAAGCAAATACACACTGCCTTTAGTGTGCAAGTAGAAAGCAATGAGAAAATGTTACCTGAAGCTTGGCTGTATTATCATCAATATGCTTTTCTGCGCCTATATTTTTACTTTATTTTATTTTTGAACCTGTGAATTTGGTCTATTTTAAAAGTCATATTAAAAGAACATAGAAATCATATTACCAGACCCTCAAAGTGCGTGTCAAGGACCCCAGAGTCCCCAACACCCATTTGAGCCGTCTATTCAGTCCACTCTTTCCAACCA